ATTCCTTTTCATCATGAATAATTTCTCCCTGTCGCACCCCGAGCCCAGTTTTCAGGGCGAGCCGGGCGTTTCGCCTGAGATGTCCTTACCAAGTGCGACTCTGATGCTTAAAAATGGGCAACAGTTTCACAGATGGAAGGCGGGTCGCTTTCAAAATGTGGCTCTCGCCGTAAGGCCGCGTGCATTATTCGTTCTACGTTTGAAAATGTTGCTCTCGCCCTAGCGCCGCGCACACTCGTGCTACGAATGTGCAAGAGTTTCACGGATTGGTGACGGTCCCTTTTCAAAATGCGGCTGTCGCCTTAGCGCCGCGCACATCCGTTTTTTTAAATGCAAGAGCTTCACGGATTGAGGGCGAGTCGTTTTCAAAATGTGGCTCTCGCCTTAGCGCCGCGCGCACTCGTGCTACAAAGTTGCAAGAGTTTCACAGATTTGGGGCGGGTCCTTTTCAAAATGTGGCTCTCGCCTTAGCGCCGCGCACATTCGTTTAAAAATGCGACAGCTTTACGGATTCCCATCATCAACGTACCAGATATGGTGTTGTGGAAAGATTCAAGAATATGCGGGCGCAACTGTTACGTTGATTCGTGGTGTTGAAGTCCCAAGAATGGCGTTCTGGCACGATTCAGGATCGCCAAGATGCAACAGTCAGGTTGATCCGTGGCGTTGGAATCCCGAGAACAATGTTCATGCATGCTTCAAGGTCTTCAAACGGTTGTCTTCCAACGAACCAGTTCCCTCAGTGGAAATGAACCGTTATAGGGGCCTATGAAGAGGGAGCTTGGAGGGAGGGCTTATTCCAACATAGTCGATGACACTTGGGTTTACACTGGTCCTCCTCCTCCTCCTCCTCCTTCCTCCTCCCCCCCTCCTCCTCCTCCTCCTCCTCCTCCTCCTCCTCCTCTCCCCTCCTCCTCTCTCATCCCCACCACCACCACCACCACCACCACCACCACCACCACACCCACCACCATCATCATCATTCATCATCATCCTCATCATCATCATCATCATCATCATCATCATCATCATCATCATCATCATCATCCTGCTCCTCCTCCTCCTCCTCTTCCTCCTCCTCATCCTGCTCCTCCTCCTTCTCCTCCTCCTCCTCCTCCTCCTCCTCCTCCTTCTCCGCCTCCTGGTGGGCCCAGAAGACGCCCCGGCGAGGCCGTGGGGGCCGCCGACGGAGGTCAAAAGACCCGAGTGAAATCCTAAACGCTTCGCCGGCGAAGCGTTCGGCATTCGACTCGGGTTTTTGGACGCTCCCTCGGCGGCCCCGTGGTGCCTCCAGGGGGTTTGGGAGGGGCGCAGCTTGGGCCCTCTTGGGCTGTCCTGGGGGGTCGGCGGAGGCGGTTTTCGGAGTTTCTGGAGGCCACCGCGTGGCCATGCAGCAAATTCCAGCAGACGTCATCGGCTCTGGCAGGGCAACGACCGCCACGACAGGCCGATCTCCAGACGGGGATCTGGAGCTGAAGCAAACTAGAAAGGGCCTAGCGGCACCACCTGCAGTTTGTCTCTTTGGACGGGGGTCCGAAGACGGTTTGTGAAGCCACTGAGTTGATAGAGCTTTGGACTTCAGCAGCACTGAATCCAGTTAATCCTCCTCGAGTCCTGCTCCGAGCCAAAGTGGGGCGCTCCTGGAACGCAGCCGCGCAGCCGGACGGAGGTGCCGCCTTTGTTCCCCACTGAGCGCGAGGGTATGCTGGCGGCGTGGTGCGATCGCCCTCTTCCTCTTCCTCCTCCCTCTCGCCCACCAGGTGTGCGCGGCCGTACGCCGACGAAGGCGGAGGCAGGGCTCGGATCTCGCCACGTGCTCGACGGATTCCGAACCCTACCCCCGCCGCCCATCGAGTTGCTGGAACCGCTGATCGGCGAGGGTGGGACCTGGATTCCGCCGCCGAACCCCGCGATCGCTGTCGACACAAGCATCCAAAAAGCCACGAGGACCAGCCCAAAGCGGGGCCTCGCGGGCTCCAGGGGCCCCAGCCCGCAGAGAGGAGGGCCCGAGACGCCCGAGGGGCCTGGACCTCCAGCGGGGGGGGGGGGCCAGAGCTCTCGGCCTTCTGTTGGACATCTTGTTGGATGGATATCTCAACGTCGCCACCGCCTCAATCGGGGGGGACGAAATGGTAGGATAGCAAAGGGTAGGGTAGGGAATCAGCTCACGCAGCTGGTTTACCTGGCGCCTCCTGACGCTGGGAGGCGCCCATGTGTCGAGGAATGGGCCCGGCGGCGGGGCCGAAACCAGCTGCACGCGGCAGATTTTGTACCCCCCCTTTTCCTTATCCTGCCCTGTCGTCCGGCCCGGCTCAAGCGGTGTGCGTTCAGACAGAGCAGGAGCACCACAAAGCCACAGGAAGGCGTGGCACTGGAAGTGTAGCTCCGCACGCGTGTCAGATGC